CGGCCTAATCTAACCCCGACCCTGTCTCTAGGCTAGTCGTATTGATCCTTATGTTAGATTTTTTTTTTTTCATTAGGCATTTCATTAAACACGTGTCATGTTCCGCTAAATGTTTGTATTGATAACGGAATTATCTCTGAGTCACCTTTCACGATATTTAAAACGTCACACGTTATTTTTCTGATTCTTGTATATTTAAAGTAAAATATTATATATATATATATATATATAAATAACTGTGATAAATAGTATCCAATCTAACTAAACCGGTCGAAAATGACGCATTTTGATCATCATAACATGAATGTCTTAATTGTTGTGGATTTTCCATTGCTTCTTAAGGATAAATTTCCTCTCGATGGGACCTAGTTACCGATACGAAATAAATATAATCATGACCATCATCCGTCTTGGAACACGGGCCGAAGTAGACGCACCCAACCTTGAAACTGGAACGCTGCATTGAACAAGTAAGGGGATAATAGTGGCAGGAAACGGACTCACAATATGATATTACTTCTTCATCTGGAACACGTACTTTGAGGTTCAAATTTATTGGGCAAAATGATATTTACTTCAGTTTGCTTAGTGCTAATTTTTTAACTGCTCGATCGCGTAAAAGTTAACTCAAGTTTGTATAGAATTGGAATAGCGCCCCTACGTTTGCCGTTAAATCGAGAAATGAAAAAACTCGCACTAAGCACACAGGCTTCAAATTCGAAAAATACGAAATCAGTCGATATCGATCGATCCGGAGTGTCTTAAGCCACCGTGGTGGACCCGCTATTTTGGACTTTATTCACTTTAACGTAAGAAGAGGTCTTAGAACCACCAAACCTAATTCAGTATTTTATCCATCTACGCTAGTAAATAAAGCCAATCAGTTGGGTTTAGTGAATTGTAAGTACAACAGGCAGTAATCAGAGATACTTAGGTAGTTACTGGTGGTAGGACCTCTTGTGAGTCCGCGCGGGTAGGTACCACCACCCTCCCTATTTCTGCCGAGAAGCAGTAATGCGTTTCGGTTTGAAGGCTGGGGCAGCCGTTGTAACTATACTGAGACCTTAGAAGTTTGCATCTCAAGGTGGGTGGCGCATTTACGTTGTAGATGTCTATGGGCTCCAGTAACCACTTAACACTAGGTGAGCTGTGAGCTCGTCCACCCAACTAAGCAATAGAAAAAAATATAAAAAAAACCGGGGTGTCTTAGCCACTGGTGACCCACTATTTTGGACTTTATTTACTTTGCGTACGAGGTCTTAGAACCGCCAAACCTAATTCAGTATTTTATGCATCTACGCTAGTAAATAAGGCCAATCAGTTGGGCTTAGTGAATTGTAAGTACAGCAGGCAGTAATCAGAGATAACTTAGAAAAGAAAGGGCTCTTTCATAAAATCTGCGAGCCTCATTCAACTGGCACCGGACGCGGTGCTCCATACAAGCACCCACATTGTATTCGCGGGCATAATGACGTCGGTGTAATGAAGATAATTTGCATATTAGTTTGGTCCAGTCGTCCGCTGACTCACGTCTCGCTGAATTAGTAAAGAAAGATGGGAAAAAACGCAGTTAGATATCGAAAAGCTGTCATAAAATTCTTTGCTGACGTTTTATACTTTTACTGGTGGTAGGTCCTCTTGTGAGTCCGCGCGGGTAGGTACCACCGCCCTGCCTATTTCTGCCGTGAAGCAGTAATGCGTTTCGGTTTGAAGGGTGGGGCAGCCGTTGTAACTATACTTGAGACCTTAGAACTTATATCTAAAGGCAGGTGGCGCTTTTACGTTGTAGATGCTCATGGGCTCCAGTAACCACTTATCACCAGGTGGGCTGTGAGATCGTCCACCCACATAAGCAATAAAAAAAAAGCCCGACGGGTGTGTAACAATACGTGCACTTTTCTGTTATATTCATTTTTCAAGAAGGCTCTTAATAGAACGTTAGGTGGTGGTGGTACGTGGCACGACTGGTTTCAACAGCTGAATTAGGGTGAAACATAAAAAACTTAAACATGATGACGAAATAACTACATCGAGGGGTTTTTTTTATTGCCCTTGTAGGCAGACGAGCATACGGCCCACCTGATGGTGAGTGGTTACCGTCGCCCATGGACTTCAGCAATGCCAGGGGCAGAGCCAAGCCGCTGCCTACCGCTTAATACTCTCCACAAGCCTCGTTTGAAGAAGGACATGTCATAGCGCTCGGGAAACACCGTGGAGGGGAGCTCATTCTATAGCCGGNCTCAACAAATGTTCACGATTGACTTCCACGGTGAAGGAATAACATCATGTAATAAAAATGAAACCCGCAAAATTATAATTTGCGTAATTACTGGTGGCAGGACCTATTGTGAGTCCACGCGGGTAGGTACCACCGCCCTGCCTATTTCGGCCGTGAAGCAGTAATGCGTTTCGGTTTGAAGGGTGGGGCAGCCGTTGTAACTATACTTGAGACCTTAGAACTTATATCTCAAAGTGGGTGGCGCATTTACGTTGTGGATGTCTATGGGCTCCAGTAACCACTTAACACCAAGTGGGCTGTGAGCTCGTCCACCCATCTAAACAATAAACAAAAATAATAAATTTTTTTTGTTACTTTCTTGGTTTTGTATGGTTCTGGAGAACAGGCGACTGTAGTTTGTCAGTCAATCGAGTCGAGTGTTCGGACTACAGGTTATGTTCCTCTCATCGTACTATCAACGAACTGTTATAGACTGCTCCTATTCTGCCAATTCAAAAATCCTCACTTATATTCATAGATGAGTGTCAGAAGCCTATGCCCTATCACTCTCAGTGTCCATCCTACATCCCATCCCCTATTTTAAACTAGTGGTAGGACCTCTTGTGAGTCCGCGCGGGTAGGTACCACCGCCCTGCCTATTTCTGCCGTGAAGCAGTAATGCGTTTCGGTTTGAAGGGTGGGGCAGCCGTTGTAACTATACTGAGATCTTAGAACTTATATCTCAAGGCGGGTGGCGCTTTTACGTTGTAGGTGCTCATGGGCTCCAGTAACCACTTATCACCAGGTGGGCTGTGAGCTCGTCCACCCACCTAAGCAATAAAAAAAAAGCCCGACGGTTGTGTAGCAATACGTGCACTTTTCTGTTATATTCATTTTTCAAGAGTGAAGGCTCTTAACAGAACGTTAGGTGGTGGTGGTACGTGGCACGACTGGTTTCAACAACTGAATTGTGGTGAAACATAAAAAACTTAAACATGGTGACGAAATAACTACATCGAGGGTTTTTTTTATTGTCCTTGTAGGTAGACGAGCATACGGCCCACCTGATGGTGAGTGGTTACCGTCGTCCATGGACTTCAGCAATGCCAGGGGCAGACCCAAGCCGCTGCCTAACGCTTAATACTCTCCACAAGCCTCGTTTGAAGAAAGACATGTCATAGCGCTCGGGAAACACCGTGGAGGGGAGCTCATTCCATAGCCGGATGGTACGTTGCAAAAAAGACCTCTGGGAACGCACTGTGGATGACCGCAGTGGCTCCAGGTAGTATGGATGAACTCTACTCCGGTGGCGGGCGGTGCGATGGTAAAAACGAGATGCCGGTATCATCTCGAACAATTCCTCAGAGCACTCCCCATGGAACATACGGTAAAAAGGCTGGAAAGCGTGGAAAGGCTTATTTGGTTTAAAATACATTTTTGCAATTTTACAGGAGAGCCATTTAAAGTTTAAAATTAGGTAAAATTATCATAGCAAAAAAAAACTTCTTCGGCCATTTGGAATGGAGTAAACATAATTGAAGTTCAATTTAAAATATTGAATTATTGATACTAATACCAACGGATCATTAATTACAAAGATAAATGTCGCATATTAAGCAAAATGTCTCTTAAATAAAACTAGAGGTCCCGCAGTAGTCGAAATTCGACTATAATTAATTGGAATTGTAAGTTTGTACACTATTATGATTGTATTTTATATTTCTACTATAATCACAAATTTCGCCAAGACTACACTATAAAAATTTTTTAATAAAGACAAACAATATTTAATCTATTCTCAATTTGACAACAGACGCCAAGAACAAAAGTTTGACAATAAATAGTATGCGTGCGTGTGTGCGTCAAATACATGGTATGTAGTGTGTGTAATGTTTTCTTTATTGATTTAATGTATCTTTTATACATTATTTAAAAAAAAAAATAGCATTGTGCACTTCTTCTCTATATTCTCTATAAGTGTGCAAAATTTCATACTCCTCCGTCCGCGCAATTTTCGTAAAAAGGGATACAAAGTTTTTGCTTCACGTATTAATATATAGAAGCCGTCACTCCTCGATATAGTTAGTGTTCGTCATAGCGGTACGTACATTACCGACATCTCATACACAATTTACTCAACTTTGTTGCACAATATTTAAGACGTATTAAATAATATGAATTGCAATTGTAATGTTAATGTAATCAATGACTTCCACGATGAAGGATTGTGTAAAAAAATTAAACTCGGAAAATATATAATTTGCGTAATTACTGGTGTTAGGAGGTCATGTGAATCCGCACGAGTAGGTACCACCACCCGGTCTATTTCTGCCGTGAAGCAGTAATGCGTTTCGGTTTGAAAGGTGGGGCAGCCGTTGTAACTATACTGAGACCTTAGAACTTATCTCAAGGTGGGTGGCGCATTTACGTTGTAGATGTCTATGGGCTCCAGTAACCACTTAACACCAGGTGGGCTGTGAGCTCGTCCACCCATCTAAGCAATAAATAAATAAGTAGTTAGTCTAGTTCGCGTATGGAAAAATTGACCAAATTTATTTGTATTTAGATTTAAATTTTTTTCTTCTCTAAGCACCTGTCACTTTTGTACATACTTTGACATTTGCAAAATCAATGCCAAAGCCGTTGGAGCCAACCTCTTATAAAAAAAAACCTTCATCTTGTCTCAAGATGAGTTGCGGCGTCTGAATGCTTGGCATCAAATTGGCGGTTAGCTATTCCGCACATTCCGTTTTTCTTTATACTATCTATAAGAAAAACCTACCTCTGGGTAAGGTTGGGTGATCCTCTGGTCCCGTCTTGGCTGTCGGTACTGGGTGATCCGTGGTATCACCAACGGAGGACGCTGATCCCTCGTGTAGATGGCACATTCTTCAGGAGTTATCCACTGCGGATAGACCAAAAGAAAACTGTTAGAATAATTTTAAATGGAATCGAAGTATCGAATGGTGCACTCAGCGGTGTGCTAACATATTACAGGATTGGGCACAAAACATTACTTGTTCGTTTATTTACAACAATGATGGTATAGGTGACGCACTCATTACTAGAAGTGTCCTTTAGCCAAGTCAAGCAACAAGATAACCTTCAATAGAATAGTCAATTATTTAAATTTAATAAGACTTCATGTAGTGAGTAGGTAGCAGTGGTCGTGGTAACTCGTCTTTGATCGGCGTCATTTAAAATGATTCATTTATAAAATGCTTTTGTACGTTCTTCTAAGTCAGGGGTTCCCAAACTTATTTTGTCTAGTGCTGTGAGAAAAATTTTTTAGCGCCCCCATCTTTTCACCTACTTAAAACCACTATAGCGAAAACTCAGTCGATGTCTAGGGCCCTCCTAGATTAAATTACAAATCGCCTCCCAACCCTCTACACAATGCACCCTTTTTCTGGCCTCTTACCGCCCTTACCCTTAGGCCTACAACGCCCACAAGGGGGCGTTATTACCCACTTTGGGAAAGGCTGTTCTAAGTCATGGGACCTTTGAACATATTTTTCACTAAATTCAAAACTTCCGATTAACTTGTAAATTGGCACACGTTCAATAATCGATAATGACTCAATCATTTTAATACTATAGCCCGTTTTTTGACCAAGATCACCTTAGAGGCTATAAGCCCACGAGTTTCTCGTCGGATTTTCTCAGTGAGTCGCGTTTCGGATCCAGTGTTAGATTCAGCGAAGAACTGCCCTTGCTAGGGTTAGTGTTAGCAAATTCGTCAGGTTAGAGCCCCGTGAGCTCACCTACTCATTCTGCGAATCTAGCATAACTCCTCGCCCGGCTAAGCAGAAAAAAGGGTTGGTTGTTTAAGTGTTTTCTTCTTTGAATCGTTTTTAAGCTGCATATCAAGTCTTTTTTTATTGCTTAGATTGGTGGACGAGCACACAGCCCACCTGGTGTTAAGTGGTAACTGGAACCCATAGACATGTACAACAAATGCGCCACCCACCTTGAGATATAAGTTCTAAGGTCTCAGTATAGTTACAACGGCTGCCCCACCCTTCAAACCGAAACGCATTACTGAATCACGGCTGGAATAATCGGGGTGGTGTTACCTACCCGTGCGGACTCACAAGAGGTCCTACCACCAGTAAAATAAGTATTATAATTTTGAACAATAATACTTATACATAGTTGAGTGAAGAATAAAGTAAACGTAAAATTACCTTAAGTTCTAGGATTGTTTAAGTGATTTAAAAAACCCAATGATTCAAATCCTCATTTTTACATAATAATAATAATAATTTAATATAAATAGTCATTGAATTCAATTCACGAGAATAGATAGTTACATAAGAATCCGACAAATATGTTACGGGCCAACAAAGTGAAATCTAGGTTTTATATTTATTGTCGAATCACGTGCTTATTGTTATAACGATAAATCCGTTCTGATCACGTAATCGATTTTATTTGTAAATTTAAATAGTATTTTTATACAGCTCTCGCTTCAGACGTCATCTATATATTAATACGTGAAGCAAAAACTTTGTATCCCTTTTTACGAAAATTGCGCGGACGAAGGAGTATGAAATTTCCTACACTTATAGAGACGGAATGCAGAATGCTAATATTTTTAATAATATGTTAATAATACATTAAATCAATAAATAAAAAAACATTGCACACGCTACACGAGTATACTTTGTTTATTGTCAAACTTTTGTTATTGCTCGAAGTCTGTGGTCAAACTGAGAATAAGTTAATATTGTTTATCTTTAATATTATAAAAATGAATTGCTGTTCGTTAATTTCGCTAAAACTCGAGAACGGATGGACCGATTTGGCTAATTTTGGTATTAAATTATTTTATACAAAAGCTTAGGTCTTTTATTTATCGATTGAGGCACTACGAAGTCTGCCGGGTCAGCTAGTCTTTAATATTATTTGTCAATAGCGTAGCCTTGGCGAAATTTTTGATTTTAGAAGTATATGATAATAGTCTTTGACAATAGAACCATAATGATGGGTCGCGTTTCCGATCCGGTGGTTGATTATGCGAAACACGGCTCTTGCTAGGGTTCGTGTTAGCAACATCATCAGGTTTGAGCCCCTTGAGCTCACCTACTAGTGTATTCTCTCTATCTCTCTGTCTTAAGCGCTGAGATCCTCTTGCCCGCAGAAATACGAAGGCATATAATAAACAGTTCGCCCAGTAAAACTTTGTCATGAGTAAACTGACGGCACCTCCATTGCACTGTGTACGTAAATAAAATAGCTAGCCTTGGTATGTTTCGTAACCAGGATATGAACGTTACGAACCGATGACCGATACTATCGTGATTCATAATGCATTCGGTGCAAAAAAGATTGTTATGTTATGTCAAATATTACTGGTGGTAGGACCTCTTGTGAGTCCGCACGGGTAGGTACCACCATCCTGCCTATTTCTGCCGTGAAGCAGTAATGCGTTTCGGTTTGAAGGGTGGGGCAGCCATTGTAACTATACCTTAGAACTTATATCTGAAAGTGGGTGGCGTATTTACGTTATAGATGTCTATGGGCTTCAGTAACCACTTAACACCGGGTGGGCTGTGAGCTCGTCCACAAATCTAGGCAAAAAAAAATTTGAAGTGAAGTATCTTAGTGACAAGACTCATAGGGACTAAGCCCTTTTGAGTTAGTGTAGTACTTTTTCTTAATCGAAATAGTGTTAAATTGATAGTGACATAACCAAACAACACATGAACAAAGTGTTTAGTCTTACTAGACACTAAGCAAGGTCAGTGGAGTTTATTCTTATAGACATTAGTTAAAATAGTAGATTATGTTAAATTAAAATAACTTATTAGCCTTATTGATAAATAAATAAAAATAAAAAAATTACATGTGTGCAATTCACACGTGGTAGAAGTGAAACCTTCCAAAATTAAAATACAATTATCCTAAACGTCTTAAGTATATGTAAAATTTTGTCATTAGTCAATAATTGTAAGGTAGCGCCCTCTGTGAATTGATATTTTAATTTCACGTATAATCCTAAATTAAAATTCACTACAAGAGCTTTCATACACACGTTAGTATTAAAAAATCTCACAGATGGCGCTGTATTAAATAGTATGTATATTTCTGTCTCATTCTTTGCTGGCTTCATCCTACACATTTTTGTATTTGTGTCTCTTACCAGTCGTTTTTTTCGTTGCATCCGGTTTGAAATCACAACGATTCTAAAGAATTTTTCACTTCAAAAATATTTTGAAATTATCATTTACGTTTTCTGATTAGGACATTTTCGCGTTGATAATACCTTGTCGTCGATATTTACCTGAACTCGTCCATTAGTAGAGTACGTGGGACTTAAACCATATAACATTAAATCGGTCAATGCGTCATTTTCTTCAAACAGCGAATTTAGTTTTATTGCACTAAATTGGCCAACCTGGAGTGATGTCAAGAAGCAAGCGCAATACAGGGTCAAGCGAAGACAACTTTGGAGGGCCCTATGTACCAACGGGGTACCCTGGGACTTTAACAACAACAACAAATTGGCACACCAGTTCAGGGGTCAACTGACACTGGCTATCCAAGCCACAGCACTAGCGTCGGGTTAAGGACAAGTCACTTCTCTAAAGAGTCTGATTTGGAAGACTTAAGCCTTCGTCAGACATAATGCGTAATTAGCGCGCGTCAGAGCGCTAAACTGACGCCGCGCTATGACGCCGAGTTTGTTGTTTGTTGTACTACTATGGTAACATACCGTCAAACAGAGCCCCAGCGCTATAAGTACGCAACGCTCTGTCGCGGCGTCAAAACGCTTCGACGTCAGGCGTTGTAATTTTTTACAAATTTTATTTTAGCGTCCGAGTGAATGTGTATTAAAATACTAGATAATGCCCGAAAAAATGATATAAATAGTTAGAATATACCAATGCTTATACAATGCCACATCTGAACCACTCGATATTTTAATACTTTTAAATTTTCACACTGCTATCGAAAGGCACTATGATTTGGCGAATGCGTTGCGTCAAGGAGCGTTAGACACATCTAGTCAATTTGTGTGACATGAAAAGAGCGCGACGTTAAGTACGCGGCGCTAAGTACGCGTTCTGTTTGACGAAGGCTTTATTCACGAATCTAAAATCTCACGTGGTCTCAACTGTTCCTTAATATCAATTCAAAAGTTGAATCACCTTAATGACCTCGAGCGTTGTAGACTTAACACCGAAACATCATTGGACTCTTTCTAACTGCAGCAAAACAGCTACGTTAGAACGAGACTGGAAGCAATGCCAATGAGACACGATTAAAGTTGATGATGAATGATTGTATTGAATGAATTCGTTTGACTTTATTCTTACACTTAGCTCTTGTACTGTTATAAGCGTCAATGGTTCAGTCAATGTTTCATTAGCTTAAACTAGGAGACGGGCACTGCGTTAGTCATGTCTAACTGTGACATTCGTGAACACTTCTGAACACAAATATAATATAAGCGGCAAATAGATCGGCTATGCTTCACGGTACTTATTACACGCGTGTTTTAAAACAATAGTTTTATTAATAAGCCTTTATGAGCTTGTTATGAATGTGCAGTAGAAGCTCTATTCACGCTTCATTTCCGATCCTGCGGACCGAATGGTAAACAGTAGACGTCGCCCTAAACACGTCATTTCGGATTCTCCTGGTCCACTAAAGGTGCTTTTAGGTACTTCAAGCACCGGCCACCGTCCTCGTCGAACCTATCGCTTGCGACGGAGGGCTCGGCGAGTAAATTAACCCTCACACACAATACACTGAGGTTCTCGCCGGATTTTTCCAGTGGGTCGCGTTTCCGATCCGGTGGTAGATTCTACGAAGCATTGCTCTTGCTAGGACTAGTATTAGTAACGTCGTCAGGTTAGAGCCCCGTGAGCTCACCTACTCATTTTGCTCAATCTAGCA